ATAGAGCATATGGTATGCAAGTGAGACAACTGGTCCCCCAGACATGTAACTTGCAGACTCCTTGACTTCAGGCCTCAGAAACTGATTACACATTCTCAAGCCACCCTTAAAATACAAACAGCACTCCACACAAGCCAATGAAAGGGCACTGGAACAAAGTAAACACCTTGGAACTAGTTTCCAGTCAAAAATGACATCTTTCCTCATAGGACTTGATACAGAGTAAGTTCGCCTGTAACATTCCATGCATCACGTAAGAAAAGGGAGTGGTGTTTCAAGATCAACGTAGTCAACTCTCTAACCAACAAGAGCCCTGAGCTTTACAAAGGGGAAACTATTTCTTAATAATTTCCAGTTTTTCAAGCCCTTGCCTTCTTATATTAAAATTAATTTTATTTTTAAGATACAATGACACTAATTTTGTATTTCCCACTTCCAAACGCTCAGAGAAAACTGAGGTGTCCAGATATCATATGAGTCAGATCTAAATTCATATGAAACCCATCTTGATTTCACCGGAACGCTGACCTCTCACGGGGCAGTCTGTACAGAAGGGGTGTGCTACCATCCACACAAACACACAAAAACCACTCTCATCCCATTTCCTCCCATTATAGCTACTTTCAAAACTTTAATGCTTTGCTGCTGGGAAGAAGAAACAACATGTTCACTTAATTTTTATGCATACCTATATGCATATATGCATATACATATACATACATACATATACAGTCTGTTGTGAAGTTGTGAATAACAGTGGGGGCAGGGGCAGGATCTACTCAGAGGGAGAAAAATCAATGCCTCTCAATTGTTCTGTAGTGCCTAGCACTCATTCTGTTCCAAGAGTCCCAGGAACCAGATGAAACAACAATGGAGTGTGAAGAAGCCATCTTCCCATGGACTCATTTGCATGGACTCATCTGCATGGACTCATTTGCATGCACTCATCTGCATGGACTCATTTGCATGGACTCATCTGCATGGAAGTGAGGATGAGGAATACATGGCAAGTGCCCCGACAGAGAGGGCAGTCTTGAGGAGAAACCATTCATCAATCCCAATGAGGCGTTTGGGGAGTGGGGGACACAAGGCTCAGAGAGCTTATTAGCACAGGGAGGCCCACAATGTAAGGTGACCCTGGCCGAAGGTTTGCCATAACCTGTGCCCCATCTCCTTAGAACCAAAACACCAGTTGTCATCCAGTCAGCTCCAACACATGGAAACGGCGTGTGCATCCGAGTAGAACATGCTCTGGAGTGTCTTCAGAGGCTCGATTTGCACACGCAGAGCACCTGGCCTTTCTTCTGAGGTGCCTCTGTGTGAATCCAAACCCCACCCTTTCTTCTCACGCCTCCCTTTTTACAGCCGTGTGATATCTTCTGGAGAACCATCGCTCTTTGCCCTTGCTGGGGCCCCTTCGGCTGGTTCTGTTTTGGTCTCAAGTCCAAGGGCAGGCTTTATCCTTCCAGGGCTATAGTCATTTCTTTTTAAATCTGCAAGGCAGACAATTTAGACCATCACAGAGGATCCTTTACCAACACAGAGGTCCCCAACCTTATTTGGCCCACCACCCCATTTTTGGGAGAAAAAAAAATGAAACAAACAGGTTATGGGGACTCATGCCATCCTCATACCCTGCAATTAAAAACCTTTGTACGACAGCCTATAAACCAGGATAAAGTAAAGGTATCTATCTGATTTTGAGGCTCCCTTTCCTCAGGGAGCAGTAATTCATCCAGCTCTAAAAGGTGTTCACACACATAGATTGACTCTAGACTTTGCCAAGCATTTAGAGTAGACTCTTCTTTTCCAGGTCATGAATATATGGAATTCATGCACTCAACCATGTCTAAAGAAAACCCCTCTCCCACATCCATGTGCGATTCAAACTCCCTCCAACTCTTTCAGGTTTGTGTCCACTCTGGCTGGGGAGGAAAGATGCTGTGCTTTAAAAACTTGGCAGGAGTCAAGTGAGGCAAACAGGGAAAAGGACATTTTCATTGATGAATGGAACCCAGGTCAGCAACCAGGTCCAGAGATATCTGCCCAAAGCATAGCCCTGTGGTCAGTTTTCAGCAACAAAGCTGTATGAGGGCAAGTCAAAAAGTATTGCTGTAAAATAATAGAAACCTATATTAAACAAAAGTATCAAAATATGAGGCTATTATTTCTCAACATGATCATCTATTTAGGTCTACAAGCTTCTGAAGGTGATGGTTCAGCCTCTCTAACCTCTTCAATTAGCACTTTGTCACAACTGCAATTTGGGCGTTCTTGAGGGCCTCAAGTTGTGTTTCTTTCCAACGTCCTTTGGGTTTGGAGAGCAAACAAAGTTTGAAGAGGCAAGATCCAGGCTGTCAGGTGAAATGGGGTAAACTTTCCCAGTAAGATTCTCATACAACAAGCCTTACTGCCCTCCAGGAATGAGCAGATGCTGGGTACCATTTTCCTAGTTCTTTTCTCACCAATACATTTTTCAATGTTCTTAAAATTACTGCTTTGTAACCTCCTGTAATTGTCTCATGACCTTTGAGAAAATCCATCAAGATTGTCCCTGCCCGCCCACCCTCACCTTACCCCCCCCAAACCAGTTGCCATAACCTTGTAAGCTGACTTCTCTACCGGGAGTTTCACTGGCCCAGCAGATCCTCCTGAGAACCACTGTTCTGATTGGACCTTGTCCTCTGGATGATACTGGTAAATACAAGATTTGTCCACGGTAAGAATTCATTCCATAAATTCATCAGTTTTATCTTCGATCTTGCTTAAAAGCTTGAAGAAAATATCACCTCTTTGAACTAGCTGACCTGTGTGTAATATTTTTGGTATTCATGAAGCTCAAAGCACTCTGAAGCCAAGATGGTCACTTAAAATGACAAAGGTTGACCCATGTGAGCTCCCAACCGCTGTAGCTACATCACCAATGGTCGTGCTGTGGTCTTCTTCCACCACTTTCTGGACTTCAACCAGTTTCTTCATTCGTGGAGGTTGATGGTTTCTTCCTGAAGTCTCCCTGACCTTATTCCAAAAAACAAACATTTAATTCGCCTGTAAACATGTTACAAAGCTTCAACATCTGGGAAGGTGTCCACCAGAGTGTTACTAAACACTTGATGTTGCTCTTGTTAGCTGCTGTTGCATTGGTTCCACTCAGCAACCCTACGTACAACAGAACAATTGCTGTTATGTTCAAGGTCACTATTGAAGCTCCTGTGTGAATAGTATTGTTCAAGGTCTTCCTCTTTTCTCACTGCCCTTCTACTTGACCAAGCATGATGTCTTTTTCCAGGGACTAGTCTCTCCTGATAATATGTCCAAAATAGGTGAGACAAAGTCTCACCATCCTCCTGTCTAAGGAACATCCTGCTGTCTGCCTTCCAGTAGAGTTGTTCGTTCTTCTGGAAGTCTACGGAACTTTTTCTAATCTTTGCTAGGCCCATCATTCAAATGCATCGATTCAACCTTGGTCTTCCTTGTTCCTTGTCAAGCTTGTATATATGCACATGAGGCAATTGAAAACAGCATCATTTGGATCAGGCCCACCTTTGTCTCAAAGCGGCATCCTTGCTCTTCAAATTTTTAAAGAGCAAATTTGCTTAATGCAATACAATGTTTGGCTTTTGATTGCTGCTTCCAGGTACATTGATTGTGGATCAGGAAATCTTTGACAACTTCCATCTTTTCTGTTTTTCATGAGATTATCATGATCCAATCGAGAGGATCTGTATGTGAAGATCCAACTGGATCCACATGGTCCAGTTACGAGGGCTTGAGTTTTCTTTACATTGAGATGTAATCTGTACTGAAGGTTGCAATCCTTGACCTTTGTCAGCAAGTGCTTCAAAATCTCCTCACTTGATCAAACACGGTCGTGTCACCAAATTGTTAACAAGCCTTCCTTCGGTTCCAAAACAACATTCTTCGTCATCTAGTTCAGCTGCTCAGATTATTTGCTCAGCAACTGATTAAATAAGAACGGGTAAACAACACAGCCCTGACACACACCTTTTCCTATTTTAATCCATGCAGAATTCCCGATTTCTATTGGAATGAGTGTCTCTTGGTTCAGATACAGGTTCTACATGAGCAGGGTGAAGGATTCTAGAATTACCATTCTTCTCAGTGTTATCCATAATTTGTTATGATCCACGCAGTTCAACGCCTATACATAGTCAATAAAACACAAGTAAGCATCCTTCTGGTATTCTATGCTTTCAGCCAAGACCCATGTGATATTAGCAATGATCATCCTTGTTTCATGTCCTCTGCTGAGTCTGGCTTAAATTTCTGGAAGCTCCCTGCCCATGCACTGCTGCAACTCCTATTGAATTTCTTTCAGCAAAATTTTACTTGCGTGTGATATGAATGATACTGGTTGATCATTTCTGTCCTTCATTCAGTCACTTTGTTTTGAATGGGCACAAATAATGGGCCTCTTCCAGTAGGTTGTCCAGATCTCTGTCTTCCAAATGTTTTGGCATAGATATGTCAGTAATTATGTGCTTCGTCGGTTTGTTGAAACATTTTCCATGGGTATTCTGTCAATTCCTGGAGTCTTATTTGTGCTACTGCCTTCGGCTTGGACTTCTTCCTCCAGTACTATCAGTCACTGATCACACATGCCAATTCTTGAAATGGTTGTATGCCAACCAGTTCATTTGGGTGCAGTGACTCAATGTTTCCTTCTATCTACATTTGATGCTTCCTACATCGTTCGATATTTTGCCCACAGACTCCTTCAATATTTCAACTGTGACTTGAACTCCTTTCCTTAATTCCCTCAGCTTGACATCTGCTGAGTGTGTTCTTTGTTTTGTCTTTCTAAAAATTTGGATATTAGGCCTGACTTTAAAATTGTTTTTTTTCCTGTGACACAAAAGGCATCCCATTTTTAAAGGCACTGTAACAAGACTAAGGCAAATGTGTCGCTGAGAGAACTTGTCTACGGCCACTTACTGATGGCACAGACTTGTTTAGATGCATTTTATTTGGACTAAATTCATATATGCAGAAGCTGGAACCCTACTTAACCTATGAAACCTTCATCCAATGCTACCTAAAAGATCCTTCTTCCATTTTAAGAAGACATTATCACAAGACACTATTAATAGGGGTAAGCTTTGGTAAGAAAGATAGGAAGATGGGCAGGGTTTACATTTTTATGTGCTGATTACAATTTCTAACTTTAAATGAGTATTCCTTTGATTGTTGTTTGATGCTGAATGGGGGATATCTTGGCAGAAAACTAGTAAATATTGTACTTTAATATCAGAGTATGTTTCATTGAACACTCTGTTTTTCATCTATTACCTCATTCAATGCTCCTGTCCTTTCTTGAAATGGTGCTATTATTCCTAATTTTACAGATGAGGAAAACCAGGCCTAAGGGCTTAGGGCCATTAAATAGCAGCTGGGTAAGACCAGACCCTGTCTAATTCTAGACCTCATTTCTCATATACTACCCTAAAACATCTCGCTTTAAAAAGAAAGAAAGAAAATGAGACATAATCAAACAAAAAGAAAAATCACTCTTTATCCTCTTTTTCAGACTAAACATTTTAATTTAGATTACCAAATGTCTGTGTAATAAAAGTATTTCTGATTTCCACCTAAATGTGCTGATGAAATATTTGGTCGGAGACTTAAATTAGGTATGGTGATGAAGGAATTATTGAATTAATCATTCAGACCCACCGGTATAGGTAAAGTCATTTCAACCTTAATCATAGAGAACTGACCACTGGGCTTAACAGCTGAAAGTAGTGGGCTAAAGACCAAGCCCTCCTTTCTGCTGGGTTAGCACTAGGTCTTCTAGAAGGAGTGACAGTCTTGCTAAGGGGCTGATGAATCAGACCTGGGAAGTGGGATACTGAGCCAGTGGTCTGCACACCAGCCTGGAAGCCATGGACAACTGAAACACTTCTTAGCTTATGGAGGCCTGGGGCCCCTTAGCACAGCCTAGACTCTTGTTCTACCCGAGCAGGAGGCCAGGCAAACAGCCCTGCCCATCATCAGTGTGCTGTAGACAGTCTAGTGCATAGCTTGTTTAGAAGGCATGCTGGGTAGCTGTACCATAACCACTGTGGCCTCCCTCCATGCTCCTTGTTTGACCACCCTCACTATGCGCCTTGGGTTAACTCTCGATTTCCCTCTGATATTGGAGGCTTTCTTCGAACTCTAGCCTTTTGCTGTCTTGTTCTTCTCCAAACCCCAGCCTTTTTCCTTCTAACTTCAACAGCAGTAGAAATGGACCTTCTTTTCCCCCCAACTTTATTGCTAACCAGGGGTTATAACTAGAAATTGACCTTCTTTCCATTAAATTTATTCCTGCTTTATCCCAGGTTACAAAGGATGATGATCTTTTACTGCTTTTCCATTCAACATGTCATGGTTTACTTAGCTTCAAAATATTTGAAATTCCATTCTAGCTTGGTATGACCCAAGAAAAAGAGGAAGCAAGCTGAGGGAGACTGTAAACATCCCTCTCAGTCCAAAGAAATAAAGAAAATGTAACCAGAGATCATGGAGCAGATGAACCAGGACTGCCAACTTGCAGGCTGGGCACAGCCTTTAGCTGCTTATTCCACTCTTGGGAATATTTTCTATGGGGACTATATTGGTTTCAGAGAAAATGGGCCATATACCAGATACGAATAAAAAAGAATTCGTGTAATGTATGTTTCAAGTGGCAGGTTTTTGTTGAAAAGCAGCTACTTTGACTACTGGCTGCTATGCCCCCTTCTCCACCCTCATCAATGCCTACTGGGTGAAAGAATGAAGTAGACGCGCCGGGGCATCATGCCTCAGCCACCAGTGGGAATGGACACGATCCAGTGGGGAGGGCCAGAGAGCTGGCTCCCTCTGATTTTACCCGCTTCCGTTGAGAGAGCTTTTCCCTTGGAGTGGCTGTGACAAGCAGCAGCCCCAGTGCTGTTTTATCACATTTTAGCAGAACCCGGAGTAAATCCCTGCCCTTGTAATCCCTTTAGAGACTTGGAAATTTTGCAGTCATAAAGTCAGGCCTTGACTGCGAATGAGATAAAAATGTGATTAAGATTTTCTCCTCCATCCCAGGTTACAATGGATGTTGTGCTTTGAGAGATTTACTTCGAGGAAAATAAAATTGTTTGGGACATACCCGGGAGTCTGAGCTTCCGGCAGCAGGAGTTGCAGCGATGTTTTGCAATGAAGTTTCTCATTGCATCTTCCCCTAAGTTGGCTGGTCCAAACACCATTCCTCTTGATCTAGAGGAAATATCAGAATATCAATTAGATCACAGTGAAGAAAAAGGAGCTGCACTAGGATTCTCTAAGATACCGAACAGTCTCCCATAGTAACCCAGTAAACTTGAAGGAGCCAACAAAGAACAGAGCACTTTGGGGAGGCAACAATGTTAGGTTGGCAAATTTAAAATTCAAATGCACTTAAATCTTTGTACTCAACTCCAAGACCTACTGTGAAACTCATTTCAACACTAATCTGATAGAAGAGTGAAATTTCTCTGGGCCGCATTAAACCGAAATACAGAGAGACCCTTTTGAATGCATATGGGGTGAGAGAATGACGTTCATCACCAAATGTTCTACCCAAAAGGTAAGGCAGGAAGTGAAATAAACTTGTGACTGGAACATATGGTCTTAAAGAAGGTCGTGTGCATTATTTCAAACCCAGATACTTTTTGAACAATAACCAATGTCCTAAAAGTAAATAAATAGCTCACAGAACAAGAGATCCAGTGCTCTAGACTCTCCCAATCGCTGCCACAGCTCTCTGTTACCACACAAAGTGCTACACACGTAACTGTGATTCCCTCCTGGGAAAGTGAGGCCATGATTAGAGGACACGGGTGGAAGCAAACTACATATGCTAAATGTAGGGGACCAAATTACAAACAGAATTTTTATACACTAGGCACAGTTGAGATACTAATGGTTATACATATATTATAATTATATAGAGATCTGATATATAATTATAATACATCCTTAGCTGATTCTAGCATCACTGCTCAATCATTATCAGATCACACACCACCATTATTCTTTAGACATTAATTGACACGCTAAACTCCACAGAATACAGCACACCAGAAACACTTCCAAAGGAACTCTGTGAAAAGCTAATATTTTTTAAAAGAATAAAGAAAAGCTAATATTTTATTTTAATGACATGCACAGTGGAAACAGCACATTTTAAAATCTGAATTCAATTACCGCCCCTAAATACCAAGTTTTAGGAAAAAAGACAACCAAAGCATCACAAAAGGAAACAATAAACTCCGTTTCTAAGGAATGCGGTTTTTCAAAAGGGACACGGTATAAAAATGGACTTTTTTTTCATCTGAGGATTGAAACATTTATCTCAATTTCCACTTCCTTTTGGCAGACAAACAGGAGCGGCTCTGAAGATGTGCCAAGCTTGGAAGGAGGGCTGATGTCAGTGGGATCTCAGATTGCCTCTGGGCTCCGAGGAGAGCGGGCAGAAGAAATCTCTTGGGAAGACCAAGTGAACAGACACCCAGTATTAACTCTATTGGTCACTCAATCGTTCTCAAAGCACAGCTCTGGCGGTATTTACCCGTCGCATAAACTGTCTCTTGTTAACTCTTAGGAGGCACTGCAATAGGGGAAATTAAAAGTGACAGAGAAGTAGGGCTCTCTCCGTATGGCGACAAGAACTTGCCAGCACTGTTGCGTGCACGCTGACGACACTGTCACTGAGATGGGAGAAAGCCTTTTCCTAGCTCTCCAGCAGGACCCCACGTTGGCATTCATTCCATAGCTGCCATTTCTGCCCTCGAAGCAAAGCACAGAAACTCTCCGTACACACACAGCACCGACTCTAAAACGTTAAGAACGGTGTGCTCCCTCATTTCCATAGACCAGCTTAACCGTGAGATGCGTGCAACGGCGAGCTGACCACTTCCTGTGCCAGGAAGAAGAGAGGGAAGGTTGCAGGAACGTTCATTCGCATTTACACCACGCAGCCTGCCTAAAGCCCTGCAGCAGCCTGAGATAACTAAGTGTTTCACAAATACAACTTACTGAGTGCCAGATTTTTCACAACACGGGAAAAGTAAGCGGTAGTTTGTTTTTATACGCAAGGAAAAACTAATCCGTGCCATCTATACGTAGATTAATAGGCGCGCTGGTGGCATGGTGGTTAAGTGCTCAGCTGATCATCTAAGGTCAGTGGTTTGAACCCACCAGCTGCTCTGTGGGAGAAAAATGAAGCCGCCTGCTGATATACAGATTGACAGCCTTGAGATGTGCTCCTTAGGCTACTCCTTTCTGCCTCTGGGCAGCTCAGAGGAAGCATCACTAGGTTTCCCTCTCCCCTCCTCCTACTCTAAGTCAGTCTCCTAAAGAGAGCCCAAACAGCTGGAAACTCTTAAGCAGAGGGTTGAGCTTTCAAACATCAGCTGAGAGTCTGTGGAGCCGTTTAAGCATCGGGCAATGCTCATGGACTGTGTGGTAATGAAAGATTCAAACATCAAGTGCTGCAGAACTTTGTCCTTTACTGGGGAGGAGGTCGATGCAGCCACGAATGCAAGGACATAGATGATGAAGGGAAGAGACGGGGCACCAAGGAGGGCTGCCTCATGAGAAGACACTCCACATCCAGGTGCCCATTTAGCTGTGAAAAAGACCTCCTGCCTGGCACTGACGAAGACACTGAAAAGCACCGCCTAGGAGATGATTGTGAGCAAATGAGAATATTGCAGCAAGGCGGGGGGGAAGGAAGTGGGTGCTAACAAACCTAGGGACAAGGGAACTACAAGTGATCTAAAATTGATGGCGAGGAGGGTGTTGGAGGCCTGGTAGGGTTTGATCAAGGGTAATGTAACTGAGAGGAATTACTGAAACCCAAATGAAGGCTGAACATGATAGTGGGAAGAGAGGAAAGTAAAAGGAAAT